CTCCCCGAGGCGGCAGCTGCTCCCGAAAGGGCAGGGGTGCTCTGCCTGGGCACACGGAAAAAATGCCACACGGACCCCTCGGTGAGCCAGGCGTACGGAGTGGACGTGCCACGGTGCCACCGAGGGGCATGGATAAGCCTGGAGCATCCCAAACACTCGGCGTGGATGTGCCACGGTGCCACCAAGGGACAGGGATGAGCCTGGAGTATCCCAAACACACGGTGTGGTTGTGCTGTGGTGTGGTTTGTGCCATGGTGCCACCAAGGGACGTGGCTGAGCCTGGAGCATCCCAGACACGAGGTGTGGTTGTGCCACGGTACCACCAAGGGACACGGCTGAGCCTGGAGCATCCCAGACACGAGGTGTGGTTGTGCCACGGTACCACCCAGGGACCAGCGAGAGCCAAACCCACCCCAAATTGTGGCCCAGCCCCTCCCTGGTGCAGTGCCAAGCTCCCTCCTGGGGGGAACAGGGAGCAGCAGGATGAGGTCCAGCCGGTGACAGTGGCACCGTGGGTGACCCACCGGCCTGGTCGTGGGAGCTGGCACCTGCCCAGCCTGATGCAGCAGGATGTGGATACCTGCTGTTCCCAGCGGCCACAAAAATATCCAGCAGCTGGCAGGGAGCCAGGGGGGACAACAACGAGGCCTCCCCTGCCACGGCAGGAGCAGTGGGGACCCCAAAACCCACCGGGTGGGGGGGTCACCCTCGCTTCCAAGGGACTGCAGGCACGACTGTGGGGACGTCAGAGCAGAGGGGGTGCTGGGACAGAGGGACATCAGGGCACGGGGGTGAGGGGGAAGAGCCCCCCCGGGCTGGCTGGCAGCCAGCAGCCCCTGGACAGCCAGGACTGGCCACAGGACAGCAAGTCCCTGACCCCAGGACAGCCAGTCCCTGTCGGACTGTCGCTGTCCCCACGTGTCTGCAGGGGTGGATGACAAGTGACACCGGAGCCATGACCCTCAGCTGTGCCAGCTCCATGCTGACCCTGCAAGCTGGGCTGGGAGAGGCACGGGATAGGGGGAATGGCCCAAAAATAGCCCTGCAACCACTGCGGGAGGGGCTGAGGTCACTTTGGGCAGAGCCAGGCCAACCCTGCGGCGGCACCGGCTGGG